TGTGGGGAAGAACTTGTTTGGTGGGAGGGTGGTGAGAGCCTGGCCCAGGTTGCCCCGAGAAGCTGTGGCTGCCCCATCCCTGGAGGGGTTCAAGGGCAGGTTGGAGGGGGCTTGGAGCAACCTGGTGTGGTGGGAGGTGTCCCTGCCCAGGGCAGGGGGTGGAATGAGATGGTCTTTGAGGTCCCTTCCAACCCAAACCATTCTGTGATTCTCTGATTCCAAGTGAGCAGAAATGGCAGCTGCTGGGCAAGAGGATTTCTGGTTTATCACTGCAGGAGGTTGGATGGTGCTGGGTCAGGGCTGCCCTTCCTGGGGCCTGGCACTGCCCAGCTGAGTTGCGGGAGGGATTTCAACCTCAAAATACCAAATCTGGTGAGGATGGGACGTGGGGGAAGGTCCTCCCTGGTGTCTGGGCAATCCCCCTGCACAACTGGAGCAGGGTTTGTCTCCCCCATCCGTGTCATGGGAATTAAAAACAACGGGGAAAATCCCACCGAGTGACGGGATGGGTCTGAGGAAGGTGAAGGTGCCATAACCAAGGGGTGATCTGGGGACAGGCAGGCTCCTTCCCACTTCAATTTGGTGCCAGCACCCTCAAAAAAAAACATTTTCCTCCAGCCCTGCCTGCCCAGAGCCCCTGGGCTGAGCCCCGGCACCTCTCTGTCCCCGGGGGGGTCTGTGTGTGTCCCCTCCTGCCATGTCCCTCCCCAGGGACCACCATGTGCTGATGGAGCCCGGTCCCCGCGTCTCACCCGCTTCGATTTCTTGATTAAAATAAAATCATTGCAGGCAACGCGTTTCAATTAGCAGGACTCCGGCGCGCCCCTGCCCCTGACAAATTGATACAATCTGCTGCAGAGGGAACTTTTTTTTTTTTGGGCCGATCGATAAACTAGAGAGTGTTTAATTAAGAGGGAGCCCTAAAACTCGTTGCATTGATCAGCTGCAGGTTTATCTTAATTAGCAGCAGGATGGTGTGTGATTCCCGGCCCCCGCACTCCCAGGAGCGTCGGGGCTTTGATGGTGGAGCAGAAAGAGAAGAGCAGGGTGTTAATGAGGGTGGGTCATTAACGGGGCTGCTATTAGCATGGGAAAATCCCCCTTAGAGGAGGAGGAGGAGGAGGAGGATGGCCTGGGGAGGATGCTCTGAGCTCCACGAGCTTGGGTTTGGGGGGGTTGGATGCTGCTGGTTCCCGAGTTGGTGGGAGGTGTCTCACGGAGCGTGGCAGGAGCTTGCAGAGCGTGAAAATCCAGGGTGGCTTGAAGTTTGTCCACCCCCAAAAAGGATCGGGGGAGGATGCTGCGGGTGCTGGACCAGGAGCATCGGGCTGAGCTCAAGTTGGTGCTGGCTTGGCCCTGCCGTGCCCCATGTGAGGATGGCCAGACCCGTGCCACCCCCCATCACCCCGGAGAAGGGCTGTGCCTCAGTTTCCCCACTCCGGAATCTGGGTGTGAGGCTTCTGCCCTGCCCTCGGGGTGCCCTTGGGGTGTCCTTGGGGTTTGCAGGCGGCGAGTGCCCGGGGAGCTGCAGCTGCAGCCTCGCAGCATTTGTGCCACATCTCCCAATTTCACAGAATCCCAGAATCACAGAATCTTCTATGGGCTGAGCTCAAGCTGGTGCTGGCCCGGCCCCGCCGTGGCCCGTGTGAGGATGGCCAGACCCGTGCCACCCCCCATCACCCCGGAGAAGGGCTGTGCCTCAGTTTCCCCACTCCGGAATCTGGGTGTGAGGCTTCTGCCCTGCCCTCGGGGTGCCCTTGGGGTGTCCTTGGGGTTTGCAGGCGGCGAGTGCCCGGGGAGCTGCAGCTGCAGCCTCGCAGCATTTGTGCCACATCTCCCAATTTCACAGAATCCCAGAATCACAGACTCTTCTAGGTTGGAAGGGACCTTAAAGATCATCTTGTCCAACCGTCAACCTCACTGACAAAAATAGACACCCCCACAACAAACAAGGAGCATCATCACTAAACCAGACCTCCCAGCACTACATCAACCCGGCTTTTGAACACCTCCAGGGATGGGGCCTCCACCCCCTCCCTGGGCAGCCCATTCCAAGGGCTGAGAACCCTTTCAGTGAAAAATTTTTCCTAATATCCAGCCTGAACCTCCCCTGGCACAACTTGAGGCCATTTCCTCTTGTCCTGTCGCCTGTGACTTGAGAAAAGAGACCGACCCCCATCTCTCTACACCCTCCTTTCAGGGAGTTGGAGAGAGCAAGAAGGTCTCCCCTCAGCCTCCTCCCTTAACCTTAAGCCGGATCCAATGGGGCTGAAAAACACAAGTGTTTGGTGTTTGTGTGGAGGGAATAAACGGGCATGAGGGGGCACACAAAGCAGTGTTTCACCTGCTGGGGTGGCTCTGGCAAAGCCTTCCAGTGCAGTTACCAGCCCTCGCTCATCCTCGGGGAGACTGTGGTGTTTGCCCCTGGTTCTGCCTCTCCTTGGGATGAAGAAGGATTCGGCTCCACCAGGCTCTTTCCCAGCTCCTTCTCCTTCAGCCTCTCCCCAGAGTGAAGGAGCCCCCGGGTGTGAACTCATCACTCCAGCTCCGTGGGGTGCTCTCGGGGGCTCATCCCAGCCCCATCCCTCTGCTCGGAGACTCTTTGGTACCCAAAACTTGCAGCCCTCACGTCTCCCTCCCACTGAGCAGCTCCGTCGACAGCCGCCCGATCGATGGGTGGCTCTAAAACCCCGGGCACCACGCTCCTTGTATCATTTATTATTTACATTCCGCAATTTAAAAGATTTACGGCCCCGTTGTAAGTATTTCCAAAGGCTGTTTCCAGGGAGAGTTTAAATAGCGTGGAAGTGAATTAAGCCTCAACTCAAACAGCCTTGGTCCCGGATCCGGGGGCTGCCCGGCCTCCGCTGCTCCGGGGCTTTAATTGAACCCGGGGTCCTGCCGGCATGGATCCAGCAGATCCCATCCCGGGGGTAGGGAATGGGATACCCCAGTCCTCGGCTCTGCCTATGGCTTTTCTCCCTCTGGCAGGATGGAGCTGGGTTAAAACTGGCCTTAATTAGAGCCCTCGTTAAGCCGGGTCAATGAGTGCATGATGCTTTACAGGTGGGGAAACTGAGGCAGGGCTGGGGGTTGCACACCCCGATGCATTAGCCCTGCCTCAGCCTTGGGAAACACTTAGGGAAGGACTTTTGCCACCTCATTTATTTCCCCCCCCCCCGTAATTAGGACACGTTAAGTCGGGCTGGATGGGCAGGGATGCTGTGGGGCCCTGGGGCAGCCCCGCGGCCGTAACCCCCCCTGGGACCGTGGAGGATGGAGCTCCCCTACATCCAGGTCACTGGGAGAAGCTGCCGGTGGATGGAGGGGGGGATGTAAAGCTGTTTTCTCCTGTGATTTTCAGGATAAACTCACCCTTCTCTGCCAGGATGAGGGTTGTTGCAGCAGGAGGGGAAACTGAGGCACAGCGCCATAGGGAGGACTTGGGGCCCCAGAGCTCGCGGGGTTTATTGGGTGAATTTGGGGCATCTCAAAGAGCAAGGGGACAGGGCTGGGCTGTTGGAGAGAGGAACAGAAAGCGGCTTTTTGGTTTGCAAGGCTGATGGAGACACATCCCGCTGCAGCCCTGTCCCCACGCCCTCGGGGAGCGCGGCGTCCGATGCACCCCAAACTTCCCTAAAATTTCCCTAAAAATCCGTAGCCTCACCAAATCTCCATTTTTTTAATTTCAGACCATCAGTGAGCGCTCCACGCTCCTGGCTCACTGTTGCTACCACCTCTCCTTAAGCTAATCCTGTAATTAAGAGTAATGGACCCCGAGCTGGTAGCGAATAGAGCCATAAATAAGGGCTGGGGTGACGGGCAGACCCCACGGGTGGCCGGCCCTGCTGTGGGTGCCCCGATGCCATTTATGAAGCTGCATCTCGTCCTCACGCAGGGGTTACAAATGGTACCGGTGATCAAACCCTGGTGGCGTTCAACGGGGGGAGGCAGAGGAGGAGCTGGGCAGGATGGGCAGAAAAAACACTTTTGCAAAATACCAGGGGACCCCGAGCACGACCTGACCAGGTTTTCCCTGGATCAGCTGAGCTCAGGGACAGACCCAGCCTGGAGGGTGGATTTTCAGCAGCGCCCGAGACCTGAGCGATGGGGAAACTGAGGCACGGAGGGTGATGAGCTGAGACATCTCCCTGCTCCCCCTTCTCAGCTCCAAATATTCCTAATAACCCTTCAGCATCCCGGGATGCACTCCCCACCGCCAGCCAGTGCATCACGCAGACGTCGCAGCCGATCGCAACTAATTATCCATGGGATTGCCCATTAATTACCGGCTGCTCTTTGCCTTCAGCATCCCGGGAGCTGCTGCGCTGAGTGATGCCCTGCTCTAATACCTGCTCCCCCCCTTGGCTTTGTTGCAGGTGGCAGCGCTGGAGAGGCAGATCTTTGATTTCCTGGGCTACCAGTGGGCACCCATCCTGGCTAATTTTTTACACATCATGGCCGTTATTTTGGGTATTTTTGGGACCATCCAGTACAGATCCAAATACCTCATGATGGTAGGTACCGCCGCGGATGCTGCTCCCCACGCCCGGGTGCATCATCCCCCAGGGATGGCTCAGCCCCTGGTCCCTTCCCGTATCCAAATCCCTGCGGATCCGGCAGGATCCAGTGAGCGGGGCAGGGAGGGATGGAGGGGGAAGGGGGCCATGGAGGGGCCATGCCCTGACCCCCTCTCTCCTCGGCAGTACGCGGTGTGGCTGGTGCTGTGGGTCGGCTGGAACGCCTTCATCATCTGCTTCTACCTGGAGGTCGGACGCTTGTCGCAGGTAACCACCCCCCAGCACCCCCTGCTGCCTCCTCTTCCTCCCTCCGTCCTCCTCCTCTCCACCTCTCCATCCTTCCTCCCCCTCCTTCTCCTTCCCCTGCATCCCCCACTGCCTCCTCTTCCTCCCTCCATCCTTCCTCCTCTCCACCTCTCCATCCTTCCTCCTCTCCACCTCTCCATCCTTCCTCCCCCTCCTTCTCCTTCCCCTGCCCCCCCAAAAAGGGACCCAGAGTATGTGGGTGCCCTCACCCTGGTGGCAAAGCACCCACTGGGCTGCCTCCCCGGGGGGTCCTGGCTGCAGCACCGAGCGCTGGGGTGGGTGGGATGGACAGATGGACGGTTCAGGCTGAGGGTGGGGAGGGGGACACGGGTGCTTTGAAGCAGGAGAGCAAAATTAATGAGGGTGATGAATGGGGAATTGCATGGCCCTCGTTAATCAGCGGTGCTGGGGTTTAGGGGGTGCAGAAGGTGGGTGGTGGCATCTCCTAACACCCTGGTGAGGAGATAAAGCGGAGAAGGGACATGGGGACCAGGGACGAGTGATGACGGGGAGGTTTGGGGCAGGGTCTCCAGCAGCTTGGTGCAGGCAGGGATGGGCAGGGCAATGGGGTGGGGAGGAAGAGACACCCCTCCCTCCCACAGATTCCCAAATTTCTGGGCTCTTCTGGGTCTCTGGAAGCTCTGCCTGACCCCAGAGTGACCAGCAGCAACGTGCCAGCGGCTGGACATCATGAATGGCTTTGAAAAGTCATCCTGGCAGTGATGGGGATGAGGATGGGAGCGGGGCTGTGCCTCTCCGTGTCGCTCCACCCCACCCTGGGCTATTGAATTATAGCTCTTACACAAAAAAGAGCAAAATTTGATGTAGTGATGGTGCATCATTACATGGTTTGAGCATCCCCAGCCCGTGGTCGGGGTACCCGTGCCGAGGGTGTGCCCTACTCCTGCATCATCCTGCTCCTGCATCCCGCATCCTGCATCCTACATCCCGCATCCCGGGATGCTGTTCCCTGCGCTGAGCTCAGGACATCATGGAGGGCTCCAGAGAACAGGCTCCAGCTCCCTCTGGAGCTGCCCACAGCGGGGAAACGGGCTTCCTGGGGGGTTCACAAGGACCAACCCCCCTTCCTGTGTCACTGCAGGTCGTTCGAGGCTCTTCTAAAAAGCTGAAGCGCCGCAGACGTGCAGCAGGCACGGGGGATGCAGTAGGGGAGGATTCACTCCCACCAGGCGTTTTTGGTGGAAATCCCCAATCTCCCGGTGACGCTGCAGAGCCAGAACACCCCCTCCTTGTGCTTCCCAGCACCTCCACCCACAGCCTTCGGTTTGAGAAACCAAAACCCACTTGCTTTCTATTTTTTCCACCCCCTACCCGCAAAAATCTTTTCATCCCAGATCGGTGATTTCCTACAAGGGATGCTCAGTGGGTTTCCCAGCCCCCCATAGACCCAAGGGCTGGTGGGGCGGAGAGGGGCTGGGAAGACCCTCTGTGGGTTGGGTGCTCACCCAGTGGAGCCAGAAGGACCCTTCCTGAGGTGGGTGCTTGCCCAGCCATGCCAGGAGGACCCCCTGTGGGATGGGTGGTCTCCTGACCATGCCAGGAGAAACCTCTGTAGGGTGGGTGCTTGCCCAGCCGTGCCAGGAGGACCCTCCATGGGGTGGGTGCTCACCCAACAGAGCCAGGAGGACCCTCTGTGGGATGGGTGGTCTCTGGGCCATGCCAGGAGAACCCTCTGTGGGATGGGTGGTCTCTGGGCCAGGCCAGGAGGACCCTCTGTGGGGTGGGTGCTTACCCAATGGAGCCAGGAGGAACCTCCATGGGGTGGGTGGTCTCCCAGCCATGCCAGGAGGACCCACTGTGGGATGGGTGGTCTCCCAGCCATGCCAGGAAGAACCTCCTTTGGTTGGGTGCTTGCCCAGCCATGCCAGGAGGACCCACTGTGGGGTGGGTGCTGGCCCAACCGTGCCACTGCCACCTGCCAGAGCCCTGTGCTGGGGCTGCCTCCCCACCCGGGCTGTTCCCATCTCCCTGCCAGATCCCTGGGCAGGGCCATTGGCATCAGCCACCCCACGGTGCCTCCTGGAATGGAGCACAGACCCCCGTCCTGCTGCTTTTATTAAATTCCAGCTTAGCCCCACGCGTGCCCGCTGTGGGGAGGGCACAGGGGATTAGCCCTGGGTCTTATCCAGCCCCGGTGACAGCCCCGCAGGGACACTGCTGCCTACTGCCCTGCCACCTAAAAGCTGGTGGAGATGGAGCAGGGAGAGTCCCACAGCCTGGTCATGGGCTTACAAGGAGGGGACATGCATGAGCGGTGCCCCCACAAAGCTCCAGGGGATGAGGATGGAGAGGAAGGCACCCCAAACCCCTCCTTGGACCATGCTGGTGGCTGATCCCCCAATCCTAGAATCACTTGGGATGAGTGGTCTCCTGGCCATGCCAGGAGGACCCTCTGTGGGATGGGTGCTCACCCAATGGAGCCAGGAAGACCCCTGCCAGAGCCCTGCACTGGGGCTGCCTCCCCACCTGGGCTGTCCCCATCTCCCTGCCAGATCCCTGGGCAGGGCCATTGGCATCAACCACCCCACGGTGCCTCCTGGAATGGAGCACAGACCCCCGTCCTGCTGCTTTTATTAAATTCCAGCTTAGCCCCACGCGTGCCCGCTGTGGGGAGGGCACAGGGGATTAGCCCTGGGTCTTATCCAGCCCCGGTGACAGCCCCGCAGGGATGCTGCTGCCTACTGCCCTGCCACCTAAAAGCTGGTGGAGATGGAGCAGGGAGAGTCCCACAGCCTGGTCATGGGCTTACAAGGAGGGGACATGCATGAGCAGTGTCCCCACAAAGCTCTGGGGGATGAGGATGGAGAGGTAGGCACCCCAAACCCCTCCTTGGACCACGCTGGTGGCTGATCCCCCAATCCTAGAATCATAGAATCATATGGGGTTGGAAGGGACCTCTGGAGATCATCTAGTCCAACCCCCTGCCAGAGCAGGTTGCACAGGAATGTGTCCAGGTGGGTTTGAATGTCTCCAGAGAAGGAGACTCCACCACCTCCCTGGGCAGCCTCTGATGGGTGGTCTCCCAGCCATGCCAGGAAGAACCTCCTTTGGTTGGGTGCTTGCCCAGCCATGCCAGGAGGACCCACTGTGGGGTGGGTGCTGGCCCAACCGTGCCACTGCCACCTGCCAGAGCCCTGTGCTGGGGCTGCCTCCCCACCCGGGCTGTTCCCATCTCCCTGCCAGATCCCTGGGCAGGGCCATTGGCATCAGCCACCCCACGGTGCCTCCTGGAATGGAGCACAGACCCCCGTCCTGCTGCTTTTATTAAATTCCAGCTTAGCCCCACGCGTGCCCGCTGTGGGGAGGGCACAGGGGATTAGCCCTGGGTCTTATCCAGCCCCGGTGACAGCCCCGCAGGGACACTGCTGCCTACTGCCCTGCCACCTAAAAGCTGGTGGAGATGGAGCAGGGAGAGTCCCACAGCCTGGTCATGGGCTTACAAGGAGGGGACATGCATGAGCGGTGCCCCCACAAAGCTCCAGGGGATGAGGATGGAGAGGAAGGCACCCCAAACCCCTCCTTGGACCATGCTGGTGGCTGATCCCCCAATCCTAGAATCATAGAATCATATGGGGTTGGAAGGGACCTCTGGAGATCATCAAGTCCAACCCCCCCACTGAGCAGGTCCCACAGGAACGTGTCCAGGTGGGGTTTGAATGTCTCCAGAGAAGGAGACTCCACCACCTCCCTGGGCAGCCTCTGCCAGGGCTCTGCCACCCTCACAGCAAAGAAGTTCCTCCTCATGTTGAGATGGAACTTCTTATACTCAAGTTTGTGCCCATTTCCTTTTGTCCTGTCCCTGGACACCATTGAGAAAAGACCAGCCCCGTCCTCCTGACACCCACCCTTGAAGTATTTATAAGCACTGAGTCCCATCTTTCAGATGGCTGGATGCTGCCGGCAGCATCGCAAGCTGCTGCTCCCCTGCCTCAAGGCCAAGCTGCTCTGCTGGTGGCCGCTCTGTGACATCCGTGATGTCACCTGGGCACTGTGGCACACCTGGGTGATGCTTGACCAAACGGAAGGAAGCCACAGACCCTGGGAACACCAGCCGTGGGGCAGGGAGGTGCAGGGGTTTGTTGACCATACCATATTGACACGGTCTGGGTGGGTGCGACCCTCGTGGGGCATCACTGGGTTGGAAAAGCCCATTTTCTGTCCACAAAGAACCAAAAGAACCTCAGCTCCACGGTCTGTGCCTTCTCCTCTGCTCCCCTCCCGCAGGACCGAGACTTCATCATGACCTTCAATACCTCACTGCATCGCTCGTGGTGGATGGAGAACGGCCCGGGCTGCCTGGTGACGCCAGTGATGAACTCCAACCTGGCACCCGAGGACCATCACGTCATCACCGTCAGCGGGTGCCTGCTCGACTACCAGTACATCGAGGTGGTGAGCAGCGCCACGCAGATATTCCTGGCGGTAAGGGCAGCTGCTGGCACCTTTCCTCCTCATCCCAAAGGGAGGGACCTACCCCTCTGCCCTGCTCTGCTCTGGTGAGACCCCACCTGGAGAACTGCATCCAGCTCTGGAGTCCTCAGCACAGGAAGGACATGGAGCTGGTGGAGCGGGGCCAGAGGAGGCCCCGGAGATGCTGGGAGGGCTGGAGCCCCTCTGCTGGGAGGGGGGGCTGAGAGAGTTGGGGGGGTTCAGCCTGGAGAAGAGAAGGCTCCGGGGAGACCTCAGAGCCCCTTCCAGTCCCTCAAGGGGCTCCAGGAAAGCTGGGGAGGGACTCTGGATCAGGGAGGGGAGCCCTAGGAGGAGGGGGAAGGGTTTGACCCTGAAAGAGGGGAGATGGAGCTGAGCTGTGGGGAAGAACTTGTTTGGTGTGAGGGTGGTGAGAGCCTGGCCCAGGTTGGCCAGAGAAGCTGTGGCTGCCCCATCCCTGGAGGGGTTCAAGGGCAGGTTGGAGGGGGCTTGGAGCAACGTGGTGTGGTGGGAGGTGTCCCTGCCCAGGGCAGGGGGTGGAATGAGATGGTCTTTAAGGTCCCTTCCAACCCAAACCATTCTGTGATTCTGTGATTCAAAGTGTGGAGCAAGAGAAGAGGGACAATGGCCAAGCCACCAGGGTCCAGCCAGGGATGTCCCACCACCACACATCTATTTTATAGCATCAAGGGCTGGGAACAGAGGAGCAGATGGAGCCCCTGCCAGCACCCCAGGGGTGCTGCCCACCCCAAAACCCAGCAGGGTGTGGGCTGGATGCTGTGGGAATGGGGGGTTCTTGGTGTAACGCACCCAGACCCTGCGTTGCTGGAGTGTGACACTGGAGAGGGAGGTGGCTGTCACCCTGTGGAGAGGTGGGAAGGAGACATACCTGGATGCAAAGCTCCTGGGGAGCCTTGGGGAGGCTGCAAGATAAAGCTTTCAAGGGAATTGGGGTCCAGAGCAGCTTCCATGCACCCACCAAAGGGCACCCAGTGCTACGGGGGGCTCAGCACCCTCTGTGCTGCCATCCCAGTGTGGTGCCAGCTCGTCCCCCCAAGAGCCACCACCCTTGTCCCCCCCGGTGAAGCTGAAACCATCTGATCCCTCTGCACCCCAAACCAGCGCCTGGACCCCACCAGAGATGGGCTTCAGCACCACCAGCCCTGATCCTGCCCAGGCTTCCTCCAGGATGCTCCTGGGCATCACCCACCTTTGTCCCCTCCCAACTGACACCATCCCAGTGCCCATCACCCCCATAACCATCTTCTCTCTCCCCACTTTTGTTTCACAGCTCTTTGGCTTCGTCTACGCCTGCTACGTCAGCAAAGTGTTCCTGGAGGAAGAAGACAGCTGTAAGTGCCTCTGCTCTCAGTCCCGAGCTGGGGGGGACACAGCCACAGCGCTGCAAAAATGGTCTGGGCTGACACCGAGCAGCACCTCGCTGGGGATGGGGGGACGATGCCTGGGTCACAGGCTGGTGAAGAGAACCCTTTAACTGGGGGTTTTGCCCCATTTTTCCATCCCCAGTGAGGCAGATGCACTGGGGGGTGATGTGCTGCCCCACGTCTCCCCCCACACCAGCTTGGGGAGGGTGCTGTGCCCTGGGCAGGGCTGGGAGAGGAGGGGGACGGGGACAGGGAGCCCTGAACCGTGTCTCCCAGGGGACTGTGGCGCTCCCAACCTTGGGGTGCAGGAACGGGACCGGTTTCGGTGCCTGGGGTGGGATTTGTCCCCTCAGCAGCCCACCAAGGGGCTGAGATCATCCCAAATCCCTGGTCCCCACACCAGCATCACACTCCGAGCCCAGCTCCCATGGAAACCGGGTGCTCCTCCCCGTGTGGGGCTGCTCAGGGGCAGATTTGGGGCCGGCATCGCTCCGGCTGCTCCCCACTGATCAAATTCAGGGTGTCTCCTCCAGGACAGAGCATCTCCCCCGGGACAGAGCATCTCCCCCAGGTCCCCTCTCCAGTGAGGCAATGGGGAGAATTGTCCTCGCTGTAAAAAGCCACCTCCAAGCCCCGATAAATTCCTGCTGCTCCTGGTGTGGATGCGGCCCCTGCCCACATCTCCCCGAGCCTCCCCCTTCCAATGACCACCTGGGGCTTGGGGACAATGAAATGGGACTTACTATGTCCCCTTGACCAGCATCCCTAGGGACAGCGGGGTGGCAGTGCCCTCCTCCCCACCCCGAGGATTTCACCCCAAAGAGAGGGGGAAAAAACAGCAATTTGAGCGAAGTTACGAGCTAATTTCTATACGATCCATATTGTGTTTTCCGATCTGACGATGATCCCTGCGAACACCCCTCCCGGAAAGGCTGAACGCCCCAGCCCCAATTAACCAGGCGGTTGAGGCTGCAGCCATCCAACCGCATTAAATGCTCATCTGCCGTTAATTAATTGGCGCCAGCTGGCAGCTCCCGGCAGCCGACCGCGGGCAGGGATGTGCCGTAACCGCCGGCGCGGCAAAAGCCACCCAGATGCTCAGCGCCGGGCTCCTTCCCCGCGGCACCCGGGATGGGCATCTCTGCCGGTGCCACGCACCCCAAAATTTGTCCCAGCCCAGCCCAGGAGGTGTGGGGGCTCAGCACCCCCGTGTTTTTTCCACCCCCCCCCGACGCTGCCGGGAAGCGCTGGAGCGGAAAAGGGAAATCTCGGTGTGAAATTGGACACTGCCCGAGGTAATAACTCGTTTCTGTACCCGGGGAGCTGGCACCAGGGTTTATCTGCCGCCACCGGCTTCGCGGCGCGTTTGCATTCAAACAAACCCCTGCATTCAATACACTTTTAATATTAATGCTGCCCGAGCCCGGGATTCAAACGCGTCTTTTTTTTTTTAATGGAATATCTTATTAGATTTGGAAATGGATGGATGGCGTCAACACGGAGAGCTGGCTGAATATTAAGTCGGGGAGATAAATATGCCGGGAGAACTGGGCTCCCCCCTCCTCGGGCTCGGGGCTGTTTCCTGGACACCCGTGTGTGACCCCCCCCCAGCTCACGGCTCCGTGGGGATGCGTGTGGTGGTTTGGGGGAGATGGGTTGTCCCACAGCTCCTGTGGCTTGGACACTCGCCTTGGCTGCACGTGGTGGCTGTTCTGAGCAGCTGGTTGAGGGTTCAGGTCTGGGGACATGTAGGATGATCAGGGGAGAAGTTGGGGTACCCCCTGCTCCCCCTGCATCGAGGTGGGGAGGGATTGGGAAGAGCCAGGCTGGAAATCAGGGCTGTGAGAACTGATCTATTGGTGTCTGCCGTTCCCCTGAGTGACAGGCTGTAAACGAGATGTAATTCCCCCATAATTCTCCTTAAATGCCCACTCCGGAGACAATCACGGGGTCATTTTACCCACTTTGTCCAGGCAAAGGCTGTGACGGTGAGGAGGGACCTGCAGGCGTCTCGGCGTGTCGCTCCTCTCCTCACCAGCACTTCCCTGGGATGCTCCATGTCCCCGGGATGCTCCATGTCCCTGGGATGCTCCATGTCCCCAGGATGCTGCACGTCCCTGGGATGCTGCGGTGACCTAGGATGCTGCATATCCCAAGGATGCTGCATGTCCCCAGGAGGCTGCATGTCCCCAGGAAGCTGCTGCAATCCGAGATGCTGCACTTCCTTGGGATGTTGCTGCAGCCCAGGATGCTGTAGTCACCCGGGATGCTGTGCTTCCCTGGGATGCTGCGTTTCCCTGGGGCTGTGACTCGGGATGCTGCGGTGACCCGGGATGCTGCATGTCCCAGGGATGCTGCCACAGCCTGGGATGCTGCGCTTCCCTGGGATGTTGCTGCGACCCAGGATGCTGCAGTAACCCGGGATGCTGTTCCCTGGGATGCTGTTCCCTGGGATGCTGCGTTTCCCGGGGATGCTGTTCCCTGGAATGCTGTTCCCTGGGATGTTGCATTCCCCTGGGATGCTGTTCCCTGGGATGCTGTGCTTCCCTGAGATGCTGCATTTCCCTGGGATGCTGTTCCCTGGGATGCTGTGCTTCCCTGGGATGCTGCCTTCTCCTGGGATGCTGCCGTGTCCCGGGATGCCACAGTGACCCAGGGTGTTGCAGGGACCCAGCACGTTGCAGGGATTGGGAATGCTGTGGTGCCCCGGGATGCTGCACGTCCCCAGGATGCTGCAGTTTTCCAGGATGCTACTGCGTGCCGGGAAGTCGCATTTCCTTGGGATGCTGCACTTCCTGGGATGCAGCTGCAACCCGGGATGCTGCTGCATGACCCGTGGGATGGGGGGAGGCAGGGGAACTGCCCCACTGCCCTCCCCAGCTCACCTCCCTGCTCTCCCCACTCTCCCCAGTCGACTTCATCGGCGGGTTTGACTCCTACGGGTACCAGGCGCCACAGAAGACGTCACACCTACAGCTACAGCCCCTCTACACGTGAGTCCCGGGGGGAAAGCCTTGGGAATGCTGAGGGATGCTCAGGGAGGCTGAGGGATGCACAGGGATGCTCTAGGATGCTAAGGGATGCTCAGGGATGCTGGGAGATGCTGAGGGATGCTCAGGGATGCTGGGGGATACTTGGGACTGCTGAGGGATGCTCAAGGATACTGAGGGATGCTGAGGGATCCTGGGGGATGCTCAGGGATGCTGAGGGATACGGAGGGATGCTGAGGGATGTTCAGGGATCCCAGGGGATGCTGAAGGGTGCTTGAGGATGCTCAGGGATGCTGAGGGATGCTGGGGGATACTTGGGGATGCTGAGAGATGCTCAGGGAAGCTGAGGGATCCTGGGAGATGCTGAGGGATGCTGAGGGATCCCAGGAGATGCTGAGGGATGTTCAGGGATCCTGGGGGATGCTGAGGGATGCTTGGTGATGCTCAGGGATGCTGGGGGATACTCGGGGATGCTGAGGGATACTCAAGGATAGTGAGGGATGCTGAGGGATGCTCAGGGATCCTGGGGAATGCTCAAGGATACTTAGAAATGCTGAGGGATACGGAGGGATGCTGAAGGGTGCTTGGGGATACTCAGGGATGTTGAGGGATGCTGGGGGATACTTGGGGATGCTGAGGGATGTTCAGGGATACTCAGAGATACTGAGGGATGTTCAGGGATCCTGGGGGATGCTGAGGGATGCTGAGGGAAGCTTGGGGATGCTCAGGGATGCAGGAGCCCCCCCCCGGGTGCCTCATCTCACCATCATAACCCAAAGATTTAGGTCTGTGGGTCCGCTCCGCCTCAATGCCAAGCCCTGAGGCTCTGGCAGGGCTGGGGCTGGGCAGTTTTGGGGGGGTCGTGCCCTTGTTTCTCTTTCTGCTGCTCTCTGTCTGCCCGGCCCCCCCACGCCGGGGCTGCCCGGGGGGAGCAGCAGCAGCAGCTCTTCAGATAAGTGCAGCTGACTATTTTTTTTCCCCTCGCTCCCTTACCCATTAAGCTTAACTAGATAAACGCTCAAATGAGATAAGGCTCCAAAATCTAAAGGGATTAGCCTCGCGCGGGCTTTGCCGGGTGCCAAAAATTAATTATATTTTAAGCCTTCTATGCAAATTCAAGGGCACGTCACGCAATTAAAGATGCAGAGAAGGGGCTGTGGTGGAACAAATGCATTTGTGATACTGCTCGGTCCTCCCCGGGCCTTTGGGCACACACGGTCACTCGGGTGCCCACCCCGATGCGTGGGTGTGGGTGAGCACCCATGGGTGCTGTGCCCCCCCTGCATCGAGATGGTTCTTCCCCAGGACCCCCCCACTGCCCTCCGGGTGGGAATGGGACACGGTGGGATGGGAGCTTCCTGGGATGGGGACACAGATGGTGGCACTGGGGTGGGAGCAGTGGCAGCACCCACATCCTGGGGATCGACACGGGTGTCCTGCCCTCCCCCTGTCGGGTGCCCACCCTCAAGGGGACCCAGGAGAGGGATGTCCCATGGATGGGACGTGTCCCATGGATGCTGTCACCTTCAGACCTGCCTTGGTGGGACACTGCAAAGCCACCGTGGGGGAGGCAGGGACAGTGGGGAGCCCTGCCTGCCCCTCTCCTGCCCACAGCCCCCAGCAGCACGGGGGGCTCGGGGGGGAGCTACTGGGGGGTCCAGTGTCCCCCCATGGCTGCAGGGTGAGGGCTGGGAGCTGCAGCAGTTGGGGCTATGGGCAGGAGTATCAGTTTTAGGGGGGGGAAATACCAGTTTTGGGTGGAGGAATACCAATTTGAGATATACAGGGAACTCAAAAGCTGGTGGCAGAGAAACCTGGTGCTGAGGTTCCAGGATGGGGAGACCTCGGTGGGGAGAAAGCCCTCTCCTCCCTTTCTGGGAGATGTTTAACCCAGCCCTGTATCCTCAGCAAAACCCACAGCGTGTCCTAAGGGCTGCCCTCCTGGTGATTAGATTGCTTCCTAATTAATCATAGAA